AGCTTGGTCAAAACTAGAACCTTCTCTTCTCCAGGTACTGTTGTTTCTGCTCTGTTGTGATGGAAATTGTTTACTTTCCAAAATGTAGTGCTTTGATGGATTTTAGTAAATACAGAATTAAAATTATTTACATTTTAAATGCTAAATTGATGAGGAAAAAGATAAAAATTACAGCTTTAAAATGTTTTCTTTTTTCCTGCAAGTAAGTCCTATGTTTTCCACTTGTCAAGGTAAGTCAAATAAAGGGAAAAATGTGTTTTACATTGTGGTGGAATAGATTTTATTTGTTTTTTGGACTACTGATCTACTAAATTGAGTTTTTAAATTTCATTTATTATGTGTATCTATTTACCCATGTCCTTTAGATGTTTAATTGAAAATACTGAACCTGTAGTTCATCTTAATTTCTTGTGTTGCCCTATGGATGCCTTTTGCAATTAGAAAATTCATTTTAATTAGGATAAATACTGACTTCTAGAAAGAAGAAATAATATGAAATACATATTGGGGATCAGAAATAAAAATTGTTGTAAGCAGCTTTTCCTTATGATTGGAAATCAGCTTTATTACTTGAAACTGAATAATAATAATAAAGCCACTCAAGCTGTGTTGGTAAATCACCCGTAAGAATTTAACATGGTTAACTTTTTTCACATATCCGTAGTGATCCTTGACAAGTTTAGTTTATGAATTGGGGTAATCTCCAATTGAACTTAGATTTTTTTGAATTACTTATTACTTAATGCAAAGAGTACTGCTTAAAAATAGCAATTTATATTACTCATATAAGAACTCTGATTATAAAATCTTAAAGCTTCCATATATTTTGAAGAGCAAAAGATTTTCAGACTAGTGTGATTATTAGCTCCTTACCAGCTAAATTACATTTTACGAAAATTTCACCTGCTTGAAAAAAGGACTAAATTTAATCTTAAAATAATCTCCTTTGCACAAGTGACTTGAATTTAAACTATGATTACATGTATCACCCAGAATGAAAACATTGTAGGTAGAGGCACCGCTCAGAGGTGCTATAGTGTTATATGCATTATCTCTTGTAATTCTCATCTGTGTGGTAGAAAAGCAAGGCACAGATTTCCAGATGAGCGAACCTGGGCCCAAACTGGCCCAGTAATTTGTCAGAAGCAGAATTCCAACCTGCCTCTTTCAGGCTTGCCTCATGTTCAAAGCCTGTGCTCCAATTTATGGCATATTTGTATTTTCTATAAATGCTTTGCGTTCACACCTTGGACATGCCTGGCAAGCCTTTCCAAGGCTTTGTTCTTCATTACTACCTACTAGTACTTGGGTCTTGTCTTCAGCTTTAGTTTCTCTGGAAGTCCTTTCCATCTGATTTATTTGCCCCTCTGGTGTGGTTTCTTAGTACTTGTGCATCTTCTGAGGCACTTACCACAAGGTATCATTTTCTCTACTTGTCAGTTTTTCCTACTATATTGATACTATTTGGAAACAGATGATTTATCATCATCTTTCCCCAGAGCCTGGCACATTGTAGGCCCTCAATAAACACTTGTTGAAAGAATAACTGAAATGTTATGTTATATATAGGGAAAATAGAGTGGATGTTGCAGGGATGAAGGATTGTAATTCAGCTTAAGGAGAAACACTTTTCATCAAATGGTCTAACAATGGAACAGCAAAGCAATTCTCATGGTGGTAGTGTGTTGTGGTGGGTAAGAGTTTGCACTCTGGAGTCCGACAGATTTAGATTTTAATTCTGGTTACCTTAAGCTGCAGTTTCCTTGACTGTAATGTACTAGAACTATACCTGACATTTAGTGAGTGCTCAGTATATATTAGCTGCTTTTTGGGAGAAACTGCTCTATAATCTCTGTGTGATTGGGACTGATAGTTGGATGACTCAGCTCCTCATTCCCTCACTCTCAGCACGGATTGTTTTGAAACAAATGCAAGTAATCTTATTTCATCTATAAATACTTAAGTGTGTATCTCTAAAAGATAAGGAGTTTTTACATAACCATATTACCATTATTATCCCTAAATTGATAATAATTTATAATATTAGCAATAACTAGTATTTAGGTTCCCTTGATTGTCTCATAATGTTTGTTTTTACATTTGGTTTATTCAAATAACAATTCAGAAAAGGTCCACACATTGTATGTAGTTATTGTAGTCTCTTCAGACTCTTTTAAAATTTATAATTCCCTTTACTTTTTTACCCCAGTATATTTATTGAAAAAACCAGGTGGTTTGTCAAGTAGAGTTTCCCAAAGTCTAGATTTTGCTGTTTTCATCCTTATGATGCTATTTAATATGTTCCTCTCTCCTCTGTATTTCCTATGAACTGATGAAGACTTAGACACGTGATTGGATTGGGGTCCCTTCTCCCCCCCACCCCAAGGGGCAAAAATGCTTCATGGATGGTGGGGGTGTTCATTTCCTGTTTTATCACATAATCCTCATAATGTTTGACTTTCTCCCTTTTTGAGATAAAGGTGTTATTCAAGTACTATCATTCTGATCCATCAGTTATACTAGTTAAGTTCTCTTAGAGTTTTAATAGCTCTTGATAGTTATTGCCTAGACACATTATTTCATGAGTTCATGCATTTAAAAATGTTTTGTTTCAGTTCTTTACAGATATTATCCTTTTTGATGTTCAGATGGCTCCATTTTTGGTTAGTGGGAGTCTTTTTGGCACCACGCCAGTAGTCTTGGATAGATTTCTTGCTTTCTTGTTTCCTTGTAGGACAAGATGTTCCAGGGACCTTCTGTCCATTACTGCCCTAGGCCTCGAATCAGCCATTTCTCCAAGGAGCCCTTGTTCTTTCTTTTTCCTTTTTTTTTTAGTTGGAGATGGTATTACTCTGGGCACAAGGGGTACTCATTGCTCCTGAGTTGATTACTATTGCTACACCTTTTCAGTGGATAAAGTTTGGAATTATTTTTTTTAATGGAATTTCTTTTCCGATATTTCTGGTTAAAATTTAGGACTTGAGAATTTTAACTTCTTTGGTTTTATGTTTGTGTCTCTTATATGCTAAAAATCTTAGTTCTAAATGACATTAACATAATAATTTATTTGCTTAATCTTAGATATAATAGTTTCAGAATAGCAATATCAGCATTACTACTAATAGGATTACTGAAAATAGTTCATGATATTTTTCATTTCTTTTTGTCCATAAAATATATTCCACTAGGGGTATACAATTTTATTACTGTTTTAAGTCATTTGCTATAGCTTTTTTTCTATGTGGTTAAGCTACCATCTCAATACACAGCTAGGTTCATTTGTTTTATTTTTAGGAATTCTTTTTTAAAATTTAATTTTGTTTTATTATTTACATGGTTCCAAGCTAAAATTTAAATCTGCAAGACAAGGTCAATTTGAAAAAGTCTAGCTTTCATGTCTGTCCCCTTTTTTTGTTTTGTTAATCCCCACTGAGGATATTTTTCCCATTGACTTTTTTAGAGAGAGTGGAAGGGAGAGAGGGAGAGAGAGACACATAGATTGGTTGCCTCCTGCACCCTGGGAGCTGGCATAGATCAAACCTGCAACCCAGGTATGTGCTCTTGACTGGGAAATCGATGCCCTGTTCACTGAGACACACCAGCCAGGGCTGAACACTTTGTATTAAGAGTATGAGAAAGTTAAAATTCTCAGCTTAATGAATTGAGTTTTTGTAATAGTTAATGAAGAAATTTAGAGCTATATCTTGAATTTAAACTATGATTAAATGTATCACCCCAGAATGAAAACATTGTGGGTAGAGGCACCGCTCAGAGGTGCTGTCCTGTCCTGTGTTATATGCATTAACTATTGTAGGGAGGAAAAAATTGGAAAGAAGTTTGGTTCAGATAATAGAAGACCTAGATTTTTAAGCTAATAAGTTTGGACTTTATTCTGTAGACAGTGGAAAATCAGTAAAAGATTTATAAGACTTATTTTAGATCCTTCAGGTAGAAAATTTTAAGTGGTACACTTTTTAGTGTTCATGTGAACTCTGTGATGTAATTGAGTAGTTATGGGAAATATTTTTTGCTTATGGCAAAACTGAAGCATACATGTTATTGTTAGTGGCTGACTATGACAACAAATGTTTATTGAGGCCATACTGTGTGCCAGATACATAGCACATTGGTATTTTATGTGGATTGTCTCCCTTAATCCTCACAGAAACTTGGAGAAGGGAGGAAATATTGTTATCCCCATTCTCATCCCATCAGAGGAGAAATTTAAGGCTTAGAGAAATGTCATACATTATCCTGGATGAGCTCCTAGGACAACAAAGGACATTATTGGGATAGCCAGTGAAATTTGATTGGGGCCTATTGATTAGATGGTAATATTGATCAACATTAACTTTCTGATTTTGATGATGGTTTTGTGGTTAAAGAGGAAATTGTCCTTGTACTTAGGATATATACAGTGTGATATTAAGGGATAATGGGCATCATGTCTGAAATCTATTCTTAAGTGGTTCCAAAATGTTAACAGTTTCATAATCTTTGTGAAAGGCATATAATAGCTCCGCAGCTCTTATTAAATTGGAAATGATTTCAAAATAAACAAGAGAAAATACTGACTCATTCAAAGTCACATAGCCAGTATGAAGCAGAACAGAACAGATTGTTGAACTTAGGTCTGTCTCATTCTATATATACGTATTTTACTGCCTCTTCTATTTATTCTAACCAATGTCATATGATAGCAAAGTTAAAAATATCAGGCAAAATTTTACTTATTTCTCGCTGTTACTTATTACTCGCTTTAATAGTATTAGCTATCACTCTCAAGTTTATTCCAAATCAGATTGTTAGCCTTTTGTAGCATTTGTACTCCGAGGTCACTTAATAAATGTTAAATGATTATAATTATTTTTCTTTGCTACCTCTTTTATTGTAAGTTTATACTTTACAATGGACCATTAAATACTTATAGTTATACATTGTAATTTAATTTTAAGTGACACTATCTCAGAATAATTATCTGCTTTTTGTTTTGACAATAGGTTATCTTATGATGAGGCTTTTACTATGGCTAATGACCCCTTGGAAGGCTTCCATGAAGTAAACCTTGCTTCACCTACTTCTCCGGACCTTCTTGGCGTGTATGAATCGGGAGCTCAAGAGCCGACTACCTCACCAGGTGTCATCTACCGGCCTCTCCCTTCATCTTTATGCTCTGCCCCTATCCAGGCTAATGCCTTAGATGTCTCCGACCTTCCTACACAGCCTGTATATTCATCCCCCAGACGTTTAAATTGTACGGAAATATCTGGTATCAGGTAGGAGATCATCAAGATGCTTATTTTGGAGTATTGTACTAAACAAATGGACAGTTTGCTTGGTTACCTTATTTTAAGTTTTAATGTTTTCAAAAACTTGAATCATATAAGCTTGTCATGAAGAGCAATACATGTTAATACTCAACATCAGGGGTCAGAAAACTTTATGGAAAGGGCCAGGTAGTCAATATTTTAGGCTTTGTGGGCTATCCATTTTCTATTGTAACTATTCAACTCTGCTGTTAAAGTACAAAAGCAGCCATAGGCAGTATGTAAATGAATAACTCCAGTAAGACTTTATATTTGGGCACCGAGTTTTGAATTTCATACAATTTTCTTGTGCCACAAAATATTATTTTGATTTTTCTCAACCATTTGAAAATATAAAAATAATTTTTGGCTTGTGTGCCGTATGAAAACAGGCAGCATGCTGGATTTAACCTGTTTTGTTTGCCGACCCCTGTTCAGAGTAGCACTATCCAATAGAACTTTCTGTGATGAAGAAAATGTTCTGTTTCTGTGCTAATGTGATGGTCATTAGCCACATGTGGGTATTAGGATTTAGAATATGTTAGCTTTGACCGAGAACATGCTCTTAATTAATATAGTGGCTACCAAATTGGATAGACCAGTGTGTTTATGACCTGAGCGTTTCTAGACCTGTGTTTATGCCAGTTATATTTAAGCACATGCTGATGTTTCCTGAACTCTCCTTTACAGCATCCATGTTACAGACCCAGCACCTTGTTCTACCTCTGGAGTAACTGCTGGGTTAACGACCTTAACTACGAGAAAGGACAACTGTAGTGCAGAGAGGGAGTTTTTGCAGGGTGCTACTATAACAGAAGCTTGTGATGGCAGTGATGATATATTCGGTTTGAGTACCGAAAGTCTGTCCCGTTTACGAAGCCCATCTGTTTTGGAAGTCAGAGAAAAGGGCTATGAAAGATTGAAAGAAGAACTTGCAAAAGCTCAGAGGGTAAGCAAAAAAGACATTCTTCCATACATTATATTCAAAATTACCATTTTCCCATGGAGGGGTAACTCAAATGAAATTATGATGGTTCTACAGTTATCCTTCACATGTGCACAGCCTCCGCTCCTGTTGGGCAGCATTTAGGAATCTGTGAAATTGATGGAGTAGTAAAGCAATTCATCTGAGAGTACTAACTGGAAAAATGAGATTCTGAAACTCTTTCTGTCCTCTACATCCCTGCTCCCTGTCTTGCATTATCTGTAATGCAGATTTGGTGGGTTATGTTCCATGTATCCAGTTGTCGCTTCTTATATGTGCCTGACTTTATGGTCATTTACTTGAAGTCATTCAGTCCAAGTCATTTTGTTTTGAGGAATTGTTTTAGGAATATTACCGTCATCTTGTAGCTGGGTTTGAATATTTTTCTGTCTTACCTTGAAAATTTTCTTTTCTTGGTAATTCTGTTTTCCACTTGGTTGTCTTAAAATTTCTGCTATTTATTCTCAAACTTGTAGCCATATCATATTCTTTTTCTGAGACTAATTAAATTTCAGACGGAAATTTATAGCACTAAAAATTCATAATTAGAAAAAATAAAAAGTCTCTAATCAACAATCTATACTCTCATTTTAAGAATATAAAAAAAATAGCATAACCAGAGTAAACAGAAGGAAAGAAATAATAAAAAGCAAAAATAAATGAAATTGACAACAGAAAAGCTAGAGAAAAATCAATGAAACAGTGCTGTTTTTTTTAAAGATCAATAAAATTGATAAACCTCTAGCAGGATTGATTAAAAAAAAGATAGAAGATAGATTATATTCAATAGCAGAAATAAAACAGGGAGGGTATCACTACAGATCCTGCAGACATCAAAAGTACAATAAAGGAATAATATGCACAGTTCTATATAAATTTGATAACTTAGGTGAAATGGACCATTTTACATTTAGATACTTGAGAAGATAGAACAAACATTCTATAGGCATAACTTCAAGGGCCGATTGGGGACTTCCAGCTGCCAGCCGGGGCCTTTCTTTGTTCTGTGCTGCTCCCTAGTGGTCAGCGTATATCATAGCGAGCAGTCGAACTCCTGAGGGGACACTTTGCATATTAGCCTTTTATATGTATAGACTAGAGGCCCAGTGCACAGAATTTGTGCACTTGGGCGGGGGGATCCCCTCAGCCCAGCCTGCTCCCTCTTGCAGTCTGGGAGCCCTTGGGGGATATCTGACTGTCGGCTTAGGCCTGCTTCTGTGGGGAGCGGGCTGAAGTTGGCAGTCGGACATTCTTAGCACTGCCGTGGAGGCAGGAGAGGCTCCCACCACCGCCGCTGCACTCGCCAGCCATGAGCCTGGCTCAGGGCTTCTGGCTGAGCGGCACTCCTCCTGTGGGAGCACACTTAACCATCAGGGGGCAGCTCCTGTGTTGAGTGTTGCCCCCTGTTGGTCAGTGGGCATCATAGCGACCAGTTCTGCCATTTGGTCGATTTGCATATTAGCCTTTTAAAGGGTGTCCAAAAATTCACGCATAAAATAATTTTGATAGAAAACACAGGTTTATAATTAAAAATTGTAAATTTTTCTTGATTCAAAAAGTATACATATAGGGTTATGTATGGAATAGCATACCGGGTAAATGGCCTCCACGGCTTTGCTGGCACATACACACTCTTTTGTTATTGCCTGAGCAGCCGCATTTTCGAAGAAGAATGGTCCGATGATGCCTCTAGCCTAAAATCCGCACCAAACAGTGACACATTGTGGATGCATTTGTTTCTCAACAATCACTTGTGGATTTTCCGAACCCCAAATGTGACAATTTTGTCGATTAACTAAGCCATCAAGATGAAAATGAGCCTCATCGAAATTCAGTCACATTTATGCAAAACGGTCATGGAAAATTTCAACAAAAGAGTGCATCTGTGCCAGCAAAGCCATGGAGGCCATTTACTCGATATGCTATTCCATACATAACCCTATACTGTATACTTTATGAATCAATAAAAAATTTACAGTTTTTAATTATAAACCTGTGTTTTCTATCAAAATTACTTCTTGCGTGAATTTTGGGACACCCTTTATAATATAGGATAAGCAATTTGAGTATGTTATATTTTGGTTTGGTTTTCTTTAGGTTTCTTGTGCTTGGGACTTGTTGAACTTCTTGAAACCATAGGTTAAATTTTATAGAATTTGAGAAATTTTGGCCATTATTTCCTCAAAATCTCTTTCCTCTCCTTTGGGACTCCTTTTACATGAACATTGGATTGCTTAAAGTTGTCCCACACCTAACTGGTACTCTATTCATTAAAAAAAATATTTTCCCCTCTGTTTCATTGTGAATAGTTCCTATTGCTATGTCTTCAATGTAACTATTTTCTTCTGCAATATCTACTCTACTAATCCTATACGATGTATTTTTTTAATCTCGGACATTGTAATTTTATTTCTGAAAGTTTGATTTGAGTCTTTTAGGTATTTTATTTGCTCTATTTAACATGTTCAGTCTTTCCTCTAGCTCCTTGAACATATGATTCAGCTTAACAACTATTTTAATCCTTGAATAATCTGCAGGATTGCTGTTTTATTGCCTGATGTCCATTGCCTTAAAAATCATTGTTTCATATACGTTTTATAGTATTTTTGTGTCAGGTGGGGTGATAAATGTGATCCCCGTTACTCTACCTTGCTTGAGAGTGAAAGTTCTGTTCCTTTATTCTACTCCAACACAGAAACGTATACTTACACACGTGCTCCATTAATTTTGAGTTTGATGAGGATAAGGATTACATGTGTTTTTGCTCATAATTATATCTTGAGCACACAGTGGGTTTTCAATACATTTTGTTGGCTAAATGAATATATATGTGTGTATTCAGTTACATTGTTGTATGAATAGACACACATGCATAATACATTAGTTAGGAACATGCTAGCTGCTTATAAGCAACGCCTTAATTTTAGTGACTTAATCTAATAGAAGTTTATTTTTATTCTTTTAACACTCCAAAGCAGATGATCCTTGTTGATAGGCAGTTCTTTGTAAATGAAATAATTTACAGATGTGTGTTTCTTCTGTCTTGGATCTTTGTAGTCTTTTAGAGTTTTATATTTATCTGTACTTAATGGGGTGAAGGGAAAAGAAAGCTTGGAGAAGGCACACCTGCTTCTAAAAAGCCTTGATTTAGAAGTGACAAATGTTGCTGTTCCTCACATTCCTTTGGGGTGAACAGTTTTATGCTGATGCTTAGGTATGTGGTGGGCTGGCCGGGAAATGTAGTCCCTGGCTAGGTAACCCCTTCCCAGCAAGGAATCCATACTGTGTATAGAGGGAACACCCATACTGACTTTGGTGATCACTGACTTTGAAGTACAGGGTTGCCAGAGATGATGATGTAGTCCCTCACCTGTTTGGCCTTCCACAGAGCATTGCTGAAGAACAGTTTTTGTTGTAATTCTGAGGCAGAAGTTGGGCTTTAGTGTATCTTTATTAAAGTATAGCTTCTTGAATTCTGCTGAAAGAAAATTATTTTATTGAGGCCTTCACTAAACTCTCCTGTTGATTATATATATATTTTATTGATTTTTTACAGAGAGGAAAGGAGAGGGATAGAGAGTCAGAAACATCGATGAGAGAGAAACATTGATCAGCTGCCTCCTGCACACCTCCTACTGGGAATGTGCCCGCAACCAAGGTACATGCCCTTGACTGGAATCGAACCTGTGACCTTTCAGCCACAGGTCGACGCTCTATCCACTGAGCCAAACCGGTTAGAGCTCCTGTTGATTCTTATATTTCCTAAAGTGTGAGACCTATTGGTATAAGGAATTACTTTCATCTTTTAATTGTTCTTCCCTGAAAGAAAATAACTTAAAAAATAAAATCCAGTGGAATATCTTGCAGCCACAGAAAGTCACTCAAAAACACATACCTGCTCTAGCTAGTTTGGCTCAGTGGTTAAAATGAAGGGGGTTGCGGGTTTGATTCTGGTCAAGGGCATGTACCTCTGTTGCAGGCTTGGTCCTCAGCCCTGGACGGGGTGCATGGGAGAGGCAACCAACTGTCGTGTCTCTCTCACTTTGATGCTTCTCTCTGTGTCTCTCTCCCTCCCTTCCATTTTTTTTCCCTAAAAAAATCCATGGAAAAAATATCCTCATGTGAAGATTATAAAACAAACAAACCATACATGCACCAAATCTATGTTCAGAATGGCCCTTCTAACTGTGGCCAAGGATGTTTATAAGTATTTACTATATTCTTTATAAAGAAACTAGAGGCCCAGCGTGCGATATTGCGCAAGACCCAGACCCACCGTGCTGGAGGGACCCAGACTGACTCCCACTGTGCTGGGCGGAACTCGGACCCAGAGTCAAGTCCCCACCCACCCGTGCATGCCTCACTGTGCATGCAGCCCCTCCCACCTGCGTGTGCCTCGCTGGGCACACAGCCTCCTGGTGACCAGTCATTGGTTGTTCTGCTGTGATGGTGTCACGACCACGGGGTTTTTATGATAGAGATATTACTTGTGAAACCAGAGTACTCATGGCATTATATGAGCCTTATAGAGGGTAAAAATAAAAAATTTTTAAACTTTGTCCTTAAGATGTTTCTAGTTGGGGAGAAAACACATGTATACATGGTAATGTTTCCCTGATTTTGAGTTATACGTTTTTCTCCATTTTAAGATCTCTGAGATCAGTATAAGTTTTAAAATTGCTCTCATCTGGACAATAATCATGACAGTCATCATTGACTACATGTACATACACTTGGTCATGGCTGCCTCCGAGGAGAATGGTGATTTTGAGCCTAAAAGAGAGAAGAAAATCTATGTTCACTGCGAAATGCATAACTGGAAAGTCTTTTTTATATTTTGACTGTAAAAACCTTAAAACCACCAATTAGGACCAAGTATAAGGAGTATGTCTCTGTGCCTTATTATACCATAAACTTTTTGCCTTATTTTCCGGCTTTTTTCTTTGAATGAGTTTCCTAAATAA